TTTCCTAGTGCTCTCAATTAGGACTCTGTAGGGAAAAAGTGCATGGTGCCCTGTGTAATGCAAGCAAATGCAGCTAACTGTTCCTTTATTTTTCAGTTTTGACAACTACTCTGCTAATGTAATGGTCGATGGAAAACCAGTGAATCTAGGTTTGTGGGATACAGCTGGTCAAGAGGACTATGACAGGCTACGTCCACTCTCCTATCCGCAAACAGTAAGAACTACAGTGTGAAACTAGAAACAATCTATACAGCTTTGTCTAACCTAAAGGTTTTCTCTTTTTGAACATTAGGGAAAAGTTACCACTTCTGGAGATGTATTTTTTAGTAACAGTGACTTGCTGCAAGCTATCTTCAATCTTTGTACAGTTGTACAAATGTTAACATTTGCATGCTTGTGTATTTGCGTGCACCAATACTTGTCGGCTTTTGCATAGTTGCAGCCTCAGACTCAGCTAGAATGCTTGATTTAAACCAGGAAAAAAACAAAAAAAACCCCAAACCAAGCCCCAGAAAAAAAATGAAAACCCCTCAGTGAATAGTCTCATCAGTTAGTCCATTGATTTTAAGGTTAGCATGCCTGCCAAAAGCAGGGTTTGTTTTTGTTTTTAGGCACATGTTTGGCTGCAACCTGACACTGTCACTGCTAAGCACTTGGTATTGTTAGTCTGTGAAGATGTTCTAAATGTGAGAGGCAGAATGAATGAAGATATTACTGGGATTGACAGCGACTGCATCGGAGCTTTCAAATGTACTGAAGACCATGGCTATTTTATTACTTACTGTAGCTTGTGCTATAACATCAATACAAATGTGCTTCTGTCTTCCATGCTTGCAACTGGTTAAGTCCTGTCTGCATGCTGCATCATTCCGTGTATAAGGAAAATGCTGAAGTAATCTTCTCTTTGCTTTTCAGTGCAACTCCAGCTACAGTTAATGTGTGCAGAACCTGGTTTTCCTAGTCTCTTTAGAGCAGTTACTTTTATATGGTGGAGCTGTGCTGTAAGAAAGGTGGTAATTTTCAGGGGGTTTGGCATTGATTATTGTTGTTGCTGTCAAATATATATTCAATGCTAATAGTGTAAAAAAGCAGAATTGCTCCAGTTACTCTACAGAATAACTGAGTAACTGCTCTCTTGAATAATGTGACTCTGATTTAAGAAACTGGTGCTTTTTTGGTTTGGGATTTTTTTTTAATTTTTTTTTAAGGAAACTGTCTTAATTCACAATTTTCTTTAACTCACTGATCACTAACTCTCACAATTAGGCTTTCCCCTCCATTACAATACCCAGGATAGATGTGAACTTGCCAGTTGTAGGCAGTGCTAGTAGAAATGCCAGAAGTATCTGCCTTTCCTAGGAAGTGAGACAATGGAAAGCTGTTTTTCTCTAATACCTAGATCTTTACAGGATATCTAAAATACGTCTCAGCATAGAGAAAGTTATGATGAAAAATCAGAAAGTAGTGTGAGAAAGCAGAGCTGTTTCTGCTGTATGACAGAGACGGAATGCTTGTGCCTGTCTTCAGCCTCCTAAAATAACGGTGATACACTGATACACTGCAGAAGAATTCCATGTCAATCTAAGCATACTTTTGGGGAGAAAAAAAAATAAATCTCTGCAAGCATGGGTAACTGTTAAGTAAAGGTCTGAAGTACTTCCAGTTATTTGGATTGTTTCTTACAGTAGAAAATGAAACAGGGTGGTAAGTCTTGGAACTCCTTATGAAGCAGCCTTCAGATGTTTGCCTTGTGCAATATGCAAGAATCATCATCACTTAAAGGACAGAACCTCCAAAATACTAACAAAAAGTACAGGGAAGCAGAGCAGTAGAGCTGATGAAGCCTGACTTTTTTTAAGATCTGTGTTCAGCCTCCTTCTTCCTTCAGTGTGCTACTTAAAACCCACCCCTCACATTTTGGTGGCCCTCTATTTCCCTGTATCTGCACCTGAGCTATGTTCTGGGTGAGGTGAAAGCAGGTTTTGCTGGGGACTTGGCCAGTGTGCGTATCTCCATTAGCCTCCTGTCAGTTCAGCAGCTGTCGACTTCACAGTAAGGACTTTGCTGTAGTGGAGATGTTAATTTGGGTCTTTTTCCTTTATTATTATTTTGTTTCCTCCCTTAAAATATTCAGGAGTTTAATACCTTCTCCTGATTGTATTTGAAATCTACCGCTATTTCAAAATATTTGGGCAAGGAAGTTGGAACAGAAAAGGTGGCTTCCTTGGGAGACCAAACCTAAAAGCAAATTAAGTTAGGAGGATGCCTTTTGTGAGAGGTTTCCTCTTGCGAGTGTCCTCTCGCAATGAAGACAGACATTTACAGGTTTGTGGGGAAGTCTGGTGGCCTGTTCTGAATGGAGGCAGTTGGTTGTGCTGAATCACAGGGCAGTGTCTCCCTTGGGAAGAAAAGCCGTTTTGTGAGTATTTGTGAGGACAAATTGCTGACTGAGAACATTTCCCCTTAAATCCATTTTAGGAGTAACTTTATCTCCTACTGTTATTAGGTTGGAGGAACCAATGGTAAGAATCTATCTTCCAGTCTGACAGATCAACCTATTGCCGTATGTAAAACTTTAAATAAACTTCAGTTCCAAGTTCTGTCATCTTGTCTTGCTTATGATAGTGATAAATTGGCCCCTATTTTTTAAACAACTACTTTTCTTGGAACTATTGCATTGCTGCAACTGAGAAATCCATTACCAAATCTCTCTATATGAGTTGCTAAGACAAAACCTTTACTTGGAAATAAATAGCTTTTCTTCCTGCTTAAGATTGATAGTGTGCAAGACACAAGAAATCATGACTACACTGAAGCTAGTAAAAGAGAGTCTGCATAATGTGCAGAACTTTAGTCACCACAAACCTGCAGATTGGAACACAGAAGTAGTGGCCATAGTATCACGTTATTTGATGTTGTTTCTTTCTTCTTCTGGGATGCTGCTACGGAAACTTGTTGGGGTGATGCATGAACAACCGGGTTGCAAGTGCTTAGCAGTGCAGATGTCAGCTGCTGACCTAACAAAATGCCTTGAAATGCAGCACAATCAACTAACATTCTGAAATGCCTGATTCTGTAACACATTTGATGCCGGGATAAGTGTGGATGCAGAGGTAGGTTGGGGAAAGTTGGGTTTGTTTGAGAGATGCTGATTGAGTTTGGGATCATTCAGCAAGATTACAGTCTTCAGCTTAGAGAAAATGAATTTTGTGGTTATTCTGAATGCTTCCAGACAACAGTGTATATGAAGCTCATTGATTTTTGAAGGGGGTTGGTATAAATGTGCTCTAAAATGTTTTTACCAGGTCTTACGATCTTTCTTTTGCCTTCAGTTGAAAAGTGAGATGTGCAAGATCCCTAACTTCTGAACCCACTTCTGAAGTTTTCAATGCTCTTAATCCTAATCTTGTTATAGAGAAATTCTGAGATCTTTTTATATTGGCAGACAGTAGAAGTGACAGTTGTGCAAGACTCTTCTGATTTGGACACAGAAATAACAATTGTAAAAGTTACTGTATGACTCTGTTATTCCATACAGTATACTTTGCCCTTGCAATCAAAGACTTTAGAGTAGTGTATTAATAGTATATTAATATTTAAAAAGGGGCTGTCAAGGGTTAGCTCACTTAGAGGCCTGCAGAGAGTATCCAACCCCAAGTTAGAATGCAGTCTTTACTCTTCCTGTGTTTGTGTGGTTTTGGTTTTTTTTTTATGAATGTCAGTGAAGGAGTAGGGACATTTAGGGGGGAAAAGAAGCTTGCAGTGCAATGCTCCTAGAGTTGTAGTTGCTGGCTCCTGCAATAGCTGATTGTAAACTTGACTACAGTGTATTTGTTGTTGGTTTTCCCCCTCTTTGTGTCTGCTTGTAGCTGCCTGGGAGTGGATTTCCCACTGGGACAGCTGCCTCCAACTGTTACGTGCAAGTGTACTATTGACCTTGCTTTTTGCAAGTCTGGTGCAGCTGACAGGGTGGTACAGGTGTGGCTCTACTGGCCTTTTCATGAACTTTTACAATAGTTGCTCTGATGTGCTAACTTCTATCAACTTGTTTTGTAGGATGTCTTCTTAATCTGCTTTTCCCTTGTGAGTCCTGCTTCCTTTGAAAATGTCCGTGCTAAGGTGAGTAGAAGCTGGTGTTTTATTTAAGTGTTCAGCATACTGCTCACTTTGCAGCAGTGGCTGGAAAATAGGAAGTGATTTTTTTTTGGCAGGCAAAGTTTGTGAACTACAGTCTGAAGTCAGAAATTGCATTTGCCCAAGTCAGCCATGGTAGTTCAGGGCATATGAAATGCTATAAATTTTTCTCTGATACAGTGATAGAATAATAGTAGTTTAAGAGTGCTCAGTTGATGAGGTGCTGAGATCACAAACAGGAACTTCCCTTTTAATGCAATTTACAGAAAAATACTAAAAACCAAATGCATATAATGAGGGTGATAACCACTTGTGTGCTGCTGCTGTTGCAGTCTGTTCATGTCTGTGGACAACTCAGCTGTATGGCATTGGGGAAATCTCACAAAGGACAGGTTGTCTCTATGGGTGAGGGAAGTGCAGATCAGGGCTCTCTTGGTGTGTGGAGAAAATTCAGCCGTTGGTAGGGTGAGCTTTTAAAGTATATGGAAATACCCACTGGCTTCATTAGAAGTGTTTTGCAATTGTCTGCTCTTTTCTGATACTGCTGTGATGAGGTGTCACATTCCCCCTTTCCTCTTTGACTCTGGAAAGCGTCATGAAGGGCTGAAAGCCCTTGGGGGAATCTGCCCCTCCAACCCACGCTGTTTCTTTGCAGTGGTATCCTGAGGTGCGGCACCATTGTCCCAACACTCCCATCATTTTAGTGGGCACCAAACTTGATCTCCGGGATGATAAGGACACTATTGAAAAACTGAAGGAGAAGAAGCTGACTCCCATCACCTACCCACAGGGCCTTGCAATGGCAAAAGAGATCGGTAGGATGGCAGTGGGGTTGTTGTTGAGCTGTTGGTTTATGTTAGATGTACCTAAAAAATAAGTGCCTGGCTTTTGTTGCAGTTAGCTTGCAGCAGTGCTGCTCTGACTGGGAAAGCTGCTTTGTAACAGCCTTTCTGCTTCCACAGGTGCAGTGAAATACCTCGAATGCTCAGCACTTACGCAGCGAGGCCTCAAGACAGTGTTTGATGAAGCCATCCGAGCAGTTCTGTGCCCCCCTCCTGTAAAGAAGAGGAAGAGAAAATGTCTGCTGCTGTAAACATTACCCTCCCCCACCCCACTCCAAACCCTGTGCTTTGCTCAGAACAATGGAGCATTCACACTCAATGCCAAGTTTTTCTGTTACAAATTAGTTCTTTTCCACAAATTCTTGAACCAATCAACAATTTCACAGTTTCCTTTTGTTTCAAGAATGACAGTTACCTTCTAAAAGCAAACTCCTGAAAAGACAAACATATGTAAAGCCTTATTTTTAAAATCCTATTCTTGCTCAATTAAGTGTTGCCAAACTATCTGCTGAACTAAGTTGCGTTGTTGTGCTACGAACACTAAGCACTAAACTGTTTTTTAAAGATTCTTGAAGATGACTCTAATTTCTGGTAGGAAACGCAAAAACACTTTCTAGTTTTTCACAGTAAGTAGCAGTACCGGGTCATTAGTGAAACACTGCACTCGAATGTGGCTATTACTAAATGGTTCCTCAACCCACAGTCATTGCGCAGCGTCATAGATCAGCCCCAAGTTGCTGGCAATGACTGACACCCGTGAGTCACAGTGTAAAATGCTTTATTGTGGGTAAGGGCTTGGTTGCAATCTAGTTCTTGCTGCTGTGATCTAAAGAATAAATAACTATTCGTACTGAAGTGTATCTAGTCCTTTTGACAGCTTTGTGTTGTGATGGATAAAGGAAATAGTGGGTTGGATCAAATGATAGTGCCAGACAGTATTTCGATGCCGTACAGCTGACTTACACTACACTGCCAGGATAGTTGAAACTGAACTGACTCTTAGTGCAGGTTAACAGCGGGGCCTGCTGTCCCAGAGGTGCAGCAGTGGAAGAGAGGTTGGTGTTCACAGGTAAATTCCGTTGAATTTCAAGTAGGGCATTTGTTTAGGTACAACTCTGAACCAGTCATTCCCACAACTGTTGTGTAGTAAATGCTTTTCTTGTAGGATCTCTTCTTACTGAGCAATATAACTTGTATTTTAAAACCTTTCTGATGATACACATTTGCTTCTTTTTTTTTCTTTGTAGAGTAGAATGTTGAAGCATATCCTCCTTATTTTCCTGTTATTTCTGACCCAGTAAGTTATATGCTTTCTGAGGAGCTTTTACTCTGTTAACTAGGTGTAAAAATCATGTGAAGCAGCTTTACACATTTTAGTAATTTTTGTATTTTAAACCTCTATAAACTACGAACTTTCTCACCTATCCCTCTTTGCAAGCTCTCCCCACCACTGTAATGTTACTAATGCAGACAAGTGTTCTTTATGTCACTACATGTACGTGTGCAGCATAGGCTGAGTAATGGTAACCTGGGTCTGTGAGGTTCTGTAAACTAGTGCTCATGTTCTGTACATTCTAAGCAGGCAGGAATATGATGTTGAACTACACCCTTTCAACCACTAAAGCAAAATTTACAAGTAAAAGTTGCAAAATTGTGAAGTTTTTACATTGATCTTTTGCTAATGCAATTAGCAGTATGTTTTGCATGTATGACTTAATAAATCCTTGAATCACATGTGTGGTAATGTTTTGGGTTTCTCAGCAAGTGTTCTCGTTCTTACACCACCCTGTTTCAGGGTTGTTTCTCTGCTGGCACCAGCAGGCTGGTGCAGTGCTCCACACTGGTGGTGTGAGGGGTGCCCTGATGTGAAGAACCACACTTAAATACAGCACTCGGCATCATTTCTTTGGAGGCCGTGCATTATCAGTCGAGGTGTTAGTGATGCCTGTATCTGCTTGCTCAGTGTTTTAAAGCTGCTGCCACCCAGCGGAAAAAACACCCATTTGACCATGTTGCATACAAAGAAGAGTGCTTTTCCTCTAAAACTGTGACTTGCTTTCAACAGTTGGTAAAATGATGGCTCCGTTTGTGCTTAAAAGCCTCGCATTTTACCCTTTTAAAGTTACAGCTGTGCTGTTGCATGTCAGGGCAGGAGCCTGCTGTGCTCCTGCTCACTCCAGGGGCACTGGGGGTGACTGCAGTACCCTGCTTGAGGAGGAATCATGTGCTTGGCCTTCACTGGTGGTGGTGCCTTACCTTGTTACACAGCCTCTAGCTTTCTGGACAGCTCTAACCTAGTAACTCGCATCTCACACCAGCATACCTGAATGTAATAACACATGTTTTTAGAGTGCATTTTATTTAGTCTCCGTATCAAGTATCACAGCAAGAACAGCCACAGTTTTCTCAAACACATTATATTAATTTTTTTCTTTTAAATAAGAACTGCTGAGCCTTAAAAAAGGGTTAAAATGGTTGCACGCTTAGAAACAAGGAATCCACTTAAAATTAGTATAACTGGTTATATATTTTTGGCAGAATTGGGATTAGTGCTCTCAGTAGTCAGAGCTAGTGACTAAGATGAATAAAGGGTTTTTTAAATCTTCTCATTCTCTAGGGGTTTAAAATCAATAAAAGTAGTTACGTGGCTCAACAAATACAAACAACAGAAAAAAGAATATTGCACACATATGTCCAAAGCAGCATTTAACCACTACACCCCCTGCCCCTGGGTGCTACCACAATCAGTAAGGAAAATAGTGCAATCAATGAGAACCACCCAGTGGGGCTGCCTGTCCCACCACAACCTGTGCACCCAGACCTGCCCACTTACCCCCTGCCAGTCGCTGCACTGGGGCAGCTGCTCGTGTCCTGTGGGGCTGCTGTCACTGAGCTCCCTCCATACTGTACCTCCAGGCTCTGCACAGGCTGGTCCTGGGCAGTGGCAGGATGTGACTGAAGCAGAACTGGATTTTTTACCATTTTTAGGGTCTGGCAGGGCTCTGCGCTCACCCACAGGCTGAGCTTGCCTGCACACACGCTTGCTCTGGTGGCGTACTCAGCTGGCACCTTGGCTCTTGTGCTCCAGCATCCACAGGCTCAGCTGGGACATGTCAGACCATCATGGTTTGTAAAAGCTCAACCTTCAGCGCAAGTGCAGACTGCTTTAACCAGCCTCCTGCCATGCAAGGTTGCTGCACAGCCAAGGGCATGAAGACCCTTGTTTATTTTATGCAATGTGAGAGAAAAGTTCTGAAATCCACACGGGTATGAAAGTGGAATGGTCCCTGAATACCTGAAGCCTGCAGTGAAAAGCCCCTCACCTTGGTGAGCTATGGCTACACCACATTGGTGTTACATTCTTGTGCCTGACAAGAAATACATGATCTGTGTTCCTGAGACAAACTGTTCAGTGCTTTGAGCACAACATCTGGCATGTGGTCTGTTATCATCTTGGGACTTATTAAAATGCTGCTGAAGACTGCTTCGTTTGACCATCTCGCCGTGTATTTAATATCTGAAGAGCACCACCTAAAACAAAACACACCACAAATAAAACAGCTCACCCTGCTGGATCTGGTGCTGGTGCCAGGCCTGGAACTGACAACCTCAAGGCTTCTGCCCTTGCCTGGGGAGGAACCAGAATCTTTTCCCAAAGAGCCACCATTCAGCCCTCCAGCATGCAGCTGGAAATGCTGCCCTTACCTGTCCTGAAGGCAGAACACCACCAAATTACAGTGTTTTAAACAGGGAAAGAACTGAGGAGATCATCCCACCCGCAGAAACACAGGCTACAGCCTAAGCAAAGGGTGTGAGTGGTTAAGCACTGCACAGCCACATAATTAATGCCAAATGTGGGGAGTAAGTCACAGATGCATCAGTAGGAGACTGAACACTGGATTTAATGCATCACATATGATGTGTTTAGGATTTTATTTTACAGAACAATACATGATAGGGCTCTTGTGTGCTAGTCCAATTGAGAAAAAAACATGACCAACTGCTGTGCTGTGGAATAAATAAAGGATAGGAAATGAACTCAAAGTAAATCAGAAGAGCAGCCATGGAGGAAACCTGCCAGGTCACAGGTGTTAGGGTATAGAACTTGTAAAACCAGTACTAAAATTGTTCAACAGCAAAGATATGAAACAACATAAATAAAATCCTAATCTACTGAAAGGGAGGAAGAAAAGGTGGGTTTCTTCTCCAGCCCTTTTCTCTTTTTTCCCTTTGGTAGGATGGTTTTGTGCAACTGAACAGATGCTCTTATTTCTGTTTCAGAGTGAAACAGGAGAGGATATAGAGTGCAGTCTAGCTTGTGGGCTGGTTCAGACTGCTTTGTCTAAAAAAAACCTAACATCAACAAATCTCGAATAAACCTGCTAAACTTACCACTGCCCCAATATCACAATCCTCACCCTCCCAGCAGTTTCAGCTTTCTTGCTTTGTCCCATTTTCCTGCATCCACAAAAAAGCAGACAAGAACAGGAAAGCAGAGGCTGCATGGGCAACACTGGTTACTGTGGGGCTGGACTGCTCCTACCTGGCAGGGCCAGTATTATGGGCAGTATTTCGCCGCCTCCTCATCACCAGTATTCCAGTGACTACTCAGCAACAAGGTATTTTGTGATCACTTCATTATTACTAGGACATAAGACTGCAAGATCTGCAGCCTGGAACAGGAACTGCAGCATGCTAAAGCTGAGCTGAACAGTCTGTTTAAAATCACCACCTGAGCATGTGCAATATACGGGCAAAGAAAAGCACATGGGCCCAAAGAGGAACAGTTTCCAGGGCTTGAAGTGAAATTGAAAGCAGCAGGGAGGCACAGAATGAAAACTGAAAGGATGGCTAATGACTGATAACCAAAGATGGGTACTGGAGATGCAGATGAGACGCAGAGCTGGAAACATGTACTTTGAAAGTGAGAAGCAGCTTTAAGTAGATTTCAGGCAAACAGGACAGTGGTATTTGTTACTCTACTTACCTCCTAGAGCTGGATTCTTCTACAATATGGATAATCTTGCCAGGAAGATACAGACGAGGATACTGTGGTGGTGAATTGACGTGTGGTTCATCCTCAAGGGTGTTGTATGAAGGTGACCGATGAACCATTAAGCTCTCCTCAGCTAGAAGTGGCTGGGTGAGGGCATCTTGGTTTCTACCATCCAGTTCAGTTGGGAAGTTATCCGGGTCTCCTCCAAAGACTTCATACCAACACCCACGCAGCAAGATCTGGTACTGAATTCAGACAGAAACAGTCAAATTGAGGTTTGGCAACTCTTTAACTAACTTAACTCCAGTTAGGCGCTTGCATGTACGTCACCTGAAACTACAGTCAGATTAAAAATGACTGCATGCACATGCTCCCCTAACTTTCCAACTGATAAAACCTTCTTACTGGATTTTCCCCACAGTAGTATCTACTTCAGCAATAGCTAACCCGAGCCACCAGTAACACGACCGAAAACATGACATTCTTCATTGAATTACTCAGTATGGATTCAGCTCTGCAGATGTAAGTTTTCTTGTACCTACAACTTCTAACTGTCCGTTATCTTACTCTGTATTTACATCACCCAGGTCCGTTACATGACTCCTCATCGTGGGATTATATGGACATCCCCTGGGTACAGCAGGTTTAGCTTTAGATGTTCAGAAGTGGCAGTTTTGAATCTTTAAGCCACTCCTCTATATCTCGACTATCACCTGCCTCACACAACAATGGTTCAGCACCTTCAAGACTCTGTTTCTTACTAACAGCAAAAAGAAGAGGTAAGCAATTAATACTGTGACAGAGATATTTGCTTTCCAAATGAATTTTCTGAAGGTAAAATTTAGGTAAACCCACTACTGATACTAAATGGTTATTACAGTAAATAATCTTACTTATTTTGAATCATTTTAGCTGGTTTGTTTTTTTCTCCCCATTTTCATTTTTTTAGGTTTCCTTATCAACAGAACTAGCGAACGGGTAATTTTGGGCCTTGGAAGTTGTGCACAGATATCTTCCAGGTCTTGCTGAATCTTAATCTCCGACAAGACAGCTTTATAGGATAACAGACTAAGACGAATGTCACTGAATTAAGAAACAAACACTTCTGTTCCAAACCCTCATCATTAAGATAAAAAATACACACACCAACTGTCACTTCATTAAAGGTGGGGCTGAACCGAGGTAGCAATTCCCCTGACTTCAATCAGAACTACATTTAGTTACCTTGGGTCTGTTGCAGTTTGCCACAATTCTCACTATTCGCCTCTTTAAATCCTCCATGTTGGGCATACTTAACCTGTTTAAACACAGAGAACAAGATAAAGACAAGCCTGCCATCCTCTTAAATCTAACACATGCCTGAAAGGGCAATTTAAAAGCATTTCCATCTCACCTTGCCACAAGATCCTTTCCAACAATGACTGAAACAATGAAGCACTTTGTGTAATCTGCAAGTGATTTGCTTTAACAAAAAAGAGACACATTTTAGATACACTAAAGGTATGCACAGTTCAGTTTTATGATGATAAATTATAATTCAATAAAAAACACAATATGAAGCAACAGCAGCGGCATCTGCAGCCAGTTCTTCAGTACGCTTTCAGATCTACCCACTACAGATGACAGAGTAACTTCAGTGCTGATTATAATGGTATGTGTAGATGTTACAGGTGAAGGTAGATGAGTCAGGTGATCATTTTATTTCCCAAACTTTTAATTTAAACTCTAATGATACTACCTGATAGTACACAAAATTCACTAGATACATTTCACTCTGCAATACTCCCCCAAGAACTCAACTGTAACTCAGGATGGAGCAAATCCAGTTCTACTGGAGGCTATACAAATAAATTCTGAACAGAGAGAGTTATCATCTAATGGATTTGTCAACTACCTTGAAAACATTTTTACATCTGAGACACAGAACCAAGTCATGTAAGTCTCTTACCTTAACAGTCCTCCTGGGGGAGAAAAGGCATAACACCTTAATGTTGGGAAAGAGTTCCTGAGCATGATCGCCAGTATAGAAGCTGTTCCACCACCCAAACTGTGACCAACTATCACAAGTTTATATTCCTATAGACAGAGAGAGAAGACTGAAGTACAGACAGACACAGAAAAAGCTACGTGTAATTTTTGTGTCAAACCAAATTATTTAGAAGATAACTTACCGGAGCAATTGTGAAAGCCTGGTTTAAAATTCCATCATTTATTAGCTTCTGATAGATGTAGTTTGCAGCTTGAGTTATTCCCTACAAGACAGCATTCAAAGTTAGACAGATATATCTAATCTGAAGTGTTGAGACATATATATTTCAAATACAACACCATCACAGAGCAACTTTCCTTTTGCAAAGCTGATCTGCTCTTTCTCATGCTCCTGACAAAGGTCTAGTTACAACCATGATCTTATATGTAATGGCTAAAAAAGTTTTTAGAACATTTAATAAGGACATGGAGTCTGACAAGAGGATCACAAGTTCTACCTTGCAGTTCCAGGGCAGTATGTGATGCCACAACCAAGTCACTGAAATGATTTTGCAATTCAGCTCACAAGATTATTCCTGTGTTTAACTAAAGGATCCCAGGTGCTCACAGATTCCTTACTGCTGAGATGATCTATCCATAGCCACAGACTGCACACACCTTATGCACAAAGCCATTCTCTAGAACATCCTCCAGTGTCAAGTCTTCACAATCTGCTGACAGATCAGTGAGAATGTCCTGCAAACAAGACAGCTTTCATCAGACCTCACTGCAGGGCTTCATGGCTCATGCTCTGCTTGCCAGCACTGTCACAGGGACATCAACAGCCTGACTTACATATGTGTAAGCAACAGAACACAGTCCACCATAAAGCACCACCCAAGCAAATACAGCCACCACAGTCCTAATTTCAGCAATTATTTCCAAGCTGCAAATACAAGCATTACAAATGCACCTCTGCTTACAGAGGAATTACCACCACCCACCCTTCACACTCTCTTCCAGTGGCACAGGAACATTACCCATCCAAGGACAGGAGGGCTTACAATTTAAGCCTGGAAGACTCACACCTGTGAGTGAGTTATTCTTAAATGTGCCAGTGTAAGACAATTTCCTTGTGTTACTGGGAGTTCACCTATTTCTATAAAGCTGATTATTTCTACCACGTGGATGATACCTCAAAAGACAAGGTTCCTCTCACTGCAACCACAATAGCTTCTTTTTTGTGATCCAAAGCAACAAAAAATGGAATCTCATAGATCTGGAGAGGAATAAATGTAATAATTAAAGACACAAAGTTTTTGTAAGAGTAAGCATTTGTTCTCACCTTCTGAAAGCTCTCTTTCTGAGCTCTCCATTGTGTTATGGAAAGAAGCTGAATTACTTTCTTATTGTGTTACCTTAAGTGCCTTTTTTGCAATACTGACACTGATTTATGTCAATGATTTTGTGGCTGCTCCTTTAGATTAGTAAAACAAACAAACCCAAAACCAGAACCAAAATTTTCAGGGCCTGTTTTCATTTGGCTTTGATTCTCACACCTTATAAATGCTAAAGGCAAACTAGAACCTTCACCCATTGCTTTCCCTGAATTAATCACTAAGTGTTTTTGCTGAATGCCTGTGCAGACTGTTTACCTTGTTATGAAAACTGATATGAATGAAGTCTCTGTACTGCAGTCCTGTTATTCTTAGGATGGATCCAAAGTGAAAGTTATGACGATCACTGCCAGTTATATCAGAATCTGTTGTTCTATTTCTGCAACTAACAAACACACGGAAGAGAAAAACTTTCATGCTCCAATTTTTTATGCTTCCTTTCAAGGAATCAAACTTAGTTACTTTTGCAAAAAGATTTCTGCCAGGAATCAAAAGCTCTTTTTGGTTTGGTTTTGCAGTAATACCATTAGCCTGATACAAGATGTTACATCTGCCAACCAACCTGGTTTTGCCTGAGCAGCATGCCACACATTTTAAGTTCAAGGACTGGCAAACACACCACTGCTACAAGACTATCAGCAGAGCAAACAACGTAATAAGAAAAGAATTCTTAAGACTACAGGCCAATGACAGAAAATACAAACAACCAAAAAGGAAATTCAAAACAAGTTCTGTACATCAGGCTTATCTCTTGTATCCATCTTACTATGTGGTGATTTTTTTCAAAATCATTTATAATTTAGGATGTTGTATTTCTATTTCACATTTCTAATTAACAGAATCATGGTTACAGTCACAGTTGTCAGTGGTCACTTAAATATACAGTAATCCTACACAGCACTACACATACTTCAATATGACTATAACCTTTTTTTTGAGTAAAGGAGGCAAGGGGAATAAAATGGAGGCTGGAGGACATGCGACTCCTGCTAATGCCTTCAAGACAGGGAGAACTGTTGATACACTTTTATTTCTATACATACATGTATGTCCAAAAAAGCAGCTCTAAAAAGCTGCATTTTAAAACATGTTTGGTTTAATTCCGATTAAAAAAATAAGCTAACCTTTTTCTGAGGGTGGAAAGATGCTTGAATTTTGTTTCTATGGAATCTGTGAAAGATAACTCTACCAGTCAAGCTCATGTACTCCCAAGAGCAATATGATTTAATGCCACAAAAATACTGCTATTGAAACTATTTTATTTCTGCTAATGCTAGCTAAATAAAAGGAGACTACGTGTTTTAAGTTCTTGATCAAACCTACCAGTCACCATTGAGCTTACAGAGTGCAGTAAATGGGTTGGTGTATACGTAGTAGGGCCAGCCATAAGCAGCTGCAGCAAACAGCATATAGTGAGCAGCATTCTCCAGTTCAGCATCCAAATCATCTGCCTGAAAGGACACAGGGAAAGAAAAGGAAAGAGAGAGAGAAAGAAAGGTGTGTCAGGCAGCCCCAGAATAAAACTGGAACACAGACTAATGGAAATGAAGCCCAGTGAAATACACACTATCCAAATGGAAAACCTCGAGGTCAAAGAGGAACTAAAAATAGCCACTCATATTCCAGGAAAAAGTCTGTGTTTGTTTACATGGCTATAGAGCTCAGGAATCTTGAAATGCTCCCATTAAATCTGTTTCTTCCAGTACTTACACACTGATAAGCTCAATACTGAAAACGATATTCACTCCAAGTGTTACTTAAGGATGTCAAAAGATCAACCAAAGAGTCTGTGGCAGATCTCTTTGGCAAAGACTTTTACAGCATGATCCCATCATGCTGGCTGGATTCAAAGGGAAGTTGGCAGTAATGCACTGCTTTAAGTAGAATTATATACTTCTATGAAACACAGGCCAAAAGAGGGTAAAATAACTTACAAAGGCATTTTACTGTAGAAGACTAGCAAAAATCAATTAGCAAACTGCAACCCATCATCTGCAAACATTTTGAAGATGCTTTCGTTCCTTACTTTGTCTTGTTATTTGCAGCAAGCATAATTTAAACAGACCATAATACTAAAAGACTAGCTTTTCAGTTCTATGCAAATAGTACTAAATATGAAATTTTCTCTGTTCCCTTTCTCTCTTGGCTCTTCAACAATGATCACATGTCCTAAACAGTTCTTTTTTGCTGTTATTTCCCCATTAGTTATGCAAAAGCAGACAAGTATTTTGCTTGCATACTCATCAAGATGTTTTCACTGCATTTATTAATAATTTAAATTGTGAATTTTTACAGTAGTGTTTAATTTTCTTAAAAAAAAAAACAAACCCAAAACATAAAAACCCTTGCACCAAGAACTGCGTTTCAATTTGACCTGGCACCATCTCCTAGAGTAATTACCAGAGGCTGCAAAAACCCTATCTTACCACAAGAGATGATGGAGAATGACACAGGACTTCTTCAGGCTCTTTTGGGCAACTTTCCATTTTATCCTGCTCTTGGTGGAGCAGAGTCAAACCAGCTGCTATGTCACTTGGCACCAGATCAGTGTCCTGTACAAAGAAATGAAAGAGCGCTTAAAACCATCCCATACCTCAGCATGGCAAAACCACCTCACAGGAAAATGCACATGGAATTGTATTTCTTCAGTTTATAAATGAATACAATTTACTCAGAGACAACGTCCACTGAAAACACAAGTCAGAGCAGCATCCAATCTCCCACCCCTTCTGTACATACTGGATATTTTATTCAGTAAGACTGAGTACTTCTACTCATGATTTTCATTACTTAACAAAATACCAAATAAAAGGTATTTTTTTCAGCTGAGGACATGCTCAGCCATATAGCAAGTGTTACTGATCACTGTTCTACATCACTGTGTAGAACACTGTGTAGAACTGATCACCCTGTGTGAAAAGTCCTCTACACTGAGAACAACTGAGAAGGATTTTACACAGGAGAAGGCTGAAGGGGTTTATCTTGAACTATCTGGGGCAGACATCTCTCAACAGTACTCACACCCTTTACCCTCTAAGCCACTGAGTAGGCTATTGCTATAATCCACATGCCCAAGTACTGCTTAATAAATAAGAACTACTAGTCTTGAAATCATGGACAGATTTCAAAGTCAGCACTGAACTACGACTGCCCAAGCAGTAAATGACATGAATGTGAGCTGAATCAACATGATGCAGACTCCAATTTGGCAGATGCTGTTGCAAAAGGCAGCTTCCTGCATGTGCACACTGTAGTCTGGCACGTGCTCAAAGTGGCTTAGAATGGGAAGACTGCCAAAACATACTGCGGGGCTCATTCTTTAACGGTCAGAAAGTAGTCAGATTATTTGTCATAAATACGACTCATTACTCATAATCAATAGGAAAAATGCCTGGATCTTCACAAATTGAGGAAAATAAACTCACACCCTTGTTCTCCTGACTAGATAGATACCTAAGAAGAAAGAATACTCTTTTCCCACAGCCCTTCATGCTTGCAAAGGGAGAGAACCTTTGTTAAAGGGAGGGGAAAATCGGTGTTGGATACACTGCATGAGAATCACCTTTAATTTTGAAACTGACATATTCAAAACCTGATTTGAAGGCACAGGGACCTCTGGCAGACCAAAAGCACATGTGTGTTGCAAGGTCTGCAAATTCAGTTAGTCAAAAGAGAACGTAAATAAAGCTTTCCATCTTACCGAAAAGTAGGTACGGAAGAGCTCTGCGATACTTGTAAAAGCCACTCGATGGTCATCATCTTGCACAATGCAGCAGCACAGTAACCTGATTCTTTTTTCCCAGACCCTGGTGGCAGTGTTCTTCACATTGTACAGCAACTGTCCTGACTGACTGCTCTCCAGGTTCCGACTGACACTACTGGTGAGGTAAAATGTCTTCTTCCCCCCAAGCGGATCAAAGACGATTACAACTCCAATGATTGTAAAGATGATGATAACCCAGCTGCAAAACAGAAGAAAGTGGGATAAAAAGGCTGTGAAACCAGATACTGACAAGAAAACACAACTGTAGTTCTTGACAGACAGAAAACTAATTTGGGTATGAAATATTGTATGAACACCATCTGCTACTGTCTTAAGGGTGCATGCTTTGTTATCAGGCTTTCGATCCACCAGGCACATGAACAAGGCTGTCAGTTTATTTCACACAGGGCACCAAACTCAAAACCACAGCCCTGTGCTTTGGAAATAGCAACTCAGAGGTGTGAAGGCTCCATTTTTCACTACCAGTGAAGTGATCTAGCTACTACCCTCTTCACATTTATCCAGTTTTCTACATTCCCATCTATCCCTCTTGCTCTTTCTGATCTTCACCTCCTTTCCTTTACCCTTGAGAGAGCTCATGCTCTCTCAAGGCAAGTAGCTAAAGCTGGTTTAGGGAAGGGTACCAACTCATTCTAGCTGTCCAGATTTAAAAATTCTTCTCCTTTTACAATGAAAACTCTTCTATGAGAAACCACAATAATTTACAAGATATCAAAGTCTCCCACTGCTGGAAAAGCCTTTGATAAACATGTACAAAACCCACATTAGCAGTATTTTCCATTACATATACCCTATCAAGCTTGGATCTGGGGGAAGGAACCTTTACCTTGCAATAACTGTCCCCATGATGACATTTATCACAGTCTTCTCACACTGCACACTGCTGTCTGACACCCATACAGCTCCTACAACAGCCCAGATGAATTCAGGAAAATAGAGAAGTAGGCGAGTATAAAGTAGCTTGGGAAGTGATTTTCTTGGGCCTGGATTAGAAATTGTTCCTGAAATCACAGGGAAAATTTAAAACAAAACCTACTTATGACCACATCTTAAGTACACAAAATCCTACCTGAATATCTGAGCTTTCCAGAAAGTAAGAAATTTAACTGAAAATACAAAGTATTTTCATAGTCAATGCAAAGTTATTACTGAAGCTGAGAAAAGAAAAACAACGTGTTTATCTATGTGGTTCTTTCGATCTCCTCTACTACTGCCTAAAACTTACTCTCTAGGCAGAACCAGTTCTGCAGCAAATGTGAGGCAGCAGTGCTGTGCCCAGCATACACCAAAGTGGCATGCTTGGAGTGCTTGCTCATGTACAGTTCCTTTTGACTTCTGGTGTCTGCTTTTATTACTATTCTATTTAGCTTTCAGGCGCCTGAGTATTTCACTTTCAGATGCTGTTTTGCTGGGCCACAATATACTTCTGTCAGGTCACTAAATAAGAAATTAATTTACATTTTTATTTAGCAGAATGAAAGTAGGACCATTACCAGCAGAAATACTTTTTAGACTGTTTTCTGTATCAGCAGCTTACTAATAACCTCTTCATTGTAATCTCTTAGGCAATAAGAAAAGGAGTAATTTTTGGACAGCTCAACTCCTTAAGCCACTTTGTTGATCACAGGGTAAAGAGATGGTGGGTATGTGTGCTCATGTGTAGGTAGGATAATTTGTAAAGGCTTAAGTCAGAGCAGAACAAAAGCAACCAATTGTAAAGATGTGGTTCACATCCAGTGACAAAGCTGTTTAAAAATCCCTTGATCCAGTGGTAACTTATTCCCATTCCCAGATTGTTGCCTGTAACGCAGCAGCATGGTTGCTTACAGAGACACAATCAGACAGAACTGTCATTCCTGAAAACAACTTCTTTCTTTTCCCAGCACCACAAACCAGTGTATGAGTTCTCCAGTCAGGTTCACCACTTCCATCACTAATGCCCACATCAGTGCAATACAAGGGGTCATGCAAGAACCACTGCTCCCAAACCTCCACATTATAACCAGACCAAGACATCTCACCATTAGTTTTCTTGGAAATTCAGCCTCAGAATTCTTCCATGTCTTAGTTCTAATGGCCTTGTAGCTGTACATATATAGAAAATGAGGCTCTTTTCTCACTGCTGTTTACAGTTACTTCTCCCACCTCCTCAACTCTGATATAAATATAAGTATCATAGCTTGGCTAATTCTCCTCTCCCTCCTCTGGAAACTGTAGGAAAACCAGTGGTTAGATTCAAGACCAGGATTATCATCCACATCTCTGTTCTGTCATGGTTTCTCTTCATGCTTCTTCCTACTTAAATAATTTAAATACTTTTATTTCCAGTGTGTTGTGAGAACCAATATATTAGAAATTGTGGGGTTTTGTCTGTTACTGCAGAAACCACACACGTATTTTGAATTAATCTCACATTACTTTGATAATGAGCTGCCTCACCAGGAAAAAAAAGCTCCCTTCCATTTTTTAGCTCAAAATGAACCATTTCTACAAATGACTAAAGTTGCACTGCGTTCCTTACTCTTCACTTACTTGAAGTGAATGTTTAGACATTCACTTCAAGCTGTAAGTTGTATTCTATTTAACAGTACTTACTGAGTTACTTGTACTGTGACATTCACACAGATTCCTTTCCTATGTGTGTTTTCCCCCAGGCTTCACTGCAGCTACTGATCTTTAACAAGTCATGACAATATCTGCCTATGCAAGGCAAAGCTAACATGACATTTTGGATGAGAAAATTATTTAGGATAATTTCCCCTGAATTCCTGTTGGAGAGGCTGAACGGTGTTCTGTCTGAGGTCATGTATTAATGGTGAATGCAAAGGAAGGTTTCAAGGTGCTTTGATGGCAGTGAATGTATCACCATTAACTGCACTAACCTGTTGTGTCCACTTACGTTAGATTCCTGACTAACAGAAGCAAAACTATTACAGCAAATACACTGATACTGACAGTTTCTCAAGTTTGACTACCATTAAAGCACTTGAATTTCATTTTTAATGTCAACCACAGATTAAAAAAGCTTATGTGCTACAATCCTACTAGATTAATATAAACTATTATTATTAACTATTTACCTTGCATACTGACATATACGAGAGCAGATAACGCACATATTATAGCAGCCAGGAGAACGAGGAGGACTAGCAAGTAGCTGTGCAGCAATCCTCCCCCGGGACAGTTAAATCGCCCCTTGTGAACCGCATAAAGAGCAAGAATTCCAATCCACCTACAGGAAACGGAGATAACAGAGTTATAGTTGGAACACTGCACAGCGATCACCTGATAAAGTCTTCCTCTTGATGACAGCATCCCACAGATTAACAGAAAGACAGCTGTTATATTAGGAATCTGTCGGGATGAAAGGCCTAAAGGGATGATGCTCAGTAGCAATCACAACTGAGCAGAAGTCTCTGCAGACCGAGAAACAGACTCTCTGTGGTGTGCTACTCACCGCAGCAGGTGCCAGAGAACCTGGGCTGATCTGGACAAAGGAAAGAGTCGCCGTATTAACTCTGGCAGGACGAAACCACGTTCACACCAGTCACGGCTTAAACACAACCCAGCAGTTTCGGTTCCGCGCACAGCACACACGCGGTAACGCCACGCTGGGCCGTTACGTCAGCCCAGGGGCTCTACCCCCAGCCGCCGCGTCCTCCGCGCCGACCCACGCCGCAGGTGACAGAGACAAAGCTGCAGCTGAGGGCCCAGCGCCGCCACCACCGGGCCTCAGGCGGAGGAGCCTGCAGCAGGGAAGCAGCCACCGAGGCTGCCCCGGCCCCGCGGGCGGAGGTAGCGGCCGCGCGTTCCGCCTTACCACAGCAGCCTGACGAAGAGCTCGAAGGCCCCCGGGAGGACGAAGTCGTCGCTGCCGATGGCCCAGCGCCTGCCGAACACCACCAGCCCCGGCATCCCGCCGCCGCGTCAGGGGCACCCGAGCACCTGAACCGGCCCCTCGCCCGCGGCCCGCAATGCCCGGTCCCCCCGCAGGCCACACCGCCCCCTCGGGGCAAGCGCGACTTCACGAGCGAGCGACGTCATGACGCACCACGCGGCGCCCCACGTTGACCGGCGGACGTATCCCACCTCAAACTCGATTGGGCCAGGCCTCGCATGCGCTCTGGGAGGACCCGCCTTTCCCACCGCCAGCCCCGCCCCCGGCGCATGTGCAGAGCGCCAGGAGGGCCCGGCCGAGCCCGGCGCTGCGGAGCCAAGAGGTGGAAGGGGCGGGAGCAGGAGTGTTAGGCGGTGAGGGATTAACCCCGTGCCGAGCTCCGACACACCCGCAGGCTGCACCTCCACCACTGCGGGGCGCAAGCACCACAGCCCCTGCAGGGGGGAGGCCACGGAGCTGGACGGCCTTAGAGGCCCTGCTGCCTTCTCCCTCAAGCTCCTTCCTCACAGTGGTGAGCACGTACGCAGCGGTGAGGACAGCACAGCCGAATTGAAGTACAAAGACAACAGTGTGGAAGAAAATAACCTACCGTGATCCTGAAGGGTTCTCTCACACTAACAGGCACTTATCTTGTATAGCCCTCTGGCTACAGCTCAGATCAGGCTCTTGTATTTCATCACAGGGACAGACCTTGGTTTCAAGCAACTCCAGACAGCAATGAGACATAGGTATCTCCAAGCTACAAAGGAACTGCAGCACACATTGGCACACACACTCTACAAATAAAAACCACTATTCAAATGTGGGGTTAGGATAACCATCACTAATTACAGGGATAATTATGGTAAACAAGTTACAGAAGATAAATGATTGAAAAATAAAACCAACCACAAAAAATATCCACTTCACTTGCACCAGGCTGAAGCTTAAGCTATTTCAAAACAGTGACCATCACTTCATCCCAACACAATGCCCCTCACAGCCTTAAAGAATTTGTATTTCAGTATAGCAAACAATGACATTAAGCAGCTCATCCTTGCTGCAACTTCTCATCTTAGTCCAATAGGAAACTTTAATTCACAGATATATGTACATAAAAAAAAAGGACTCCAAAATATTTTCACCATTTCATAAAGTGTTTATTGAGGATGGTAACACAGGATAAATCATGCAACAGCTCAGTAAAAAAAGGGAATCATTTAAAGGATAAAGAATGGAAACTGGTGCTGCTGATTTTGAGAAGTTTATAAAAAAAATTATTAATTGTCCAAAAGTGACATGAAAAACCACATGAAGCTGAACATGGAAGTTGCTTATAAAGCACTCATTAAAAAGAAAATGTAGATACTGTTTAAAATGATCACCTACAGATTACTGTAATCAGCAACTTACACGTCTCCCATTTGTATAGCTGTAATGGTGTAGCCGGGCTGCACGTCTCAGATATTTAACCTTCTGTTCCTGAACAAACAGCACAGTCACACACATTTGCCAGTAAGCAACACAACCCCATCTCTTATCCTTCATGACCTGTGCTGCCGAGTGCATTCATTATTGGGATTGCCTTCCCAAAGATCATGGCGAAACAGGAACGGGTCCATACCTGTGGTCTCCAGAGATTTCCTTACTGCCCTCTTGCCATCAGCCTGTTTCAGGAGGGGAACAACTAGAAAATTTGGACTGCTCCCCTTCTGGCACCAACATTTATTTTAAATAAGGAACCCCATGTCAGCAGATGGCACAAAGACTGGGCACCAGCACATCACATCAACATCGGTGGTTTCAGATTTAGAGTTGACATATATTCACCTTTTGGAAAAAAATAAATATAGTGGAATGAAAACTGAATCAAAGGGAAAGAACAAACAACTACCATCCATCAAGGATGCACACCCCTGTGCAATGGAGACAAAAAAAAATAAACCCCCAGTCATTTCAAAGAAATTCTTGAAAATTAAAAAAGAAAAAAAAAAAAAAGAAAAAAAAAGTTTGCACTTGTTCCTGGTCATAAACTATCTCACAAAAATCTCACTTTTGGAACTATTCCAATTGAAACCATACACTGAATTTATTAATACAGTATAAGTTTCTTTATGTAAAAAATCTTTATACATAGTAATAAAAAAGATAAAGGCAAGATGCATCAAACAGAAATCTGCTGGTTGTTTTTCCTCCGTTCTTACAGAGCCGCTGATGACTACCTGCACTAGAAAGAGCTGTGTTTCTGACTTTCTGTCTCAAGCATCTTCGCCTTTGCTTGTGATAAGGATTGTTCTGTCCAAGCATCCAAAAGGACAGATGCTGGTGATGTTGTTTTTGGCACTTACGCTGGCAAACTGAGCTTCTTTCCCTTGAGTACTGTAAGGAAAAGTAGGAAAGGAAAGAGTTAGCAAACCAAAGATGTGATCTAGGAGAAGCACACAATATGAAAGCTTCAAAGGGAGCAAAACCTGTCACACAGAGTCACTTCATTACAAATTGGGTACACTGCAGACAGTCCTCCCAAGCTTACCTCTCCCTCTTCAATACCTACTGGCAAAATATTCTAATCCTGCCCTCTTGTGGCACCCTGAATTGCCATTCTGCATCCCCAGAGCACATAATAGCCTATGACCCTGGTTTCTTAAGAGTTAACTGAAGTAACACAGTCCCATACAGTTTTGCAGTTGTATGACGGGAGTTGGAATGCAAATAAGGGCAGGATACTTAACACATCTAGCAGAAATGACTGCTTCTACACCTAAAGAGAAACATCCAAGCCCTTTCAAGCTCTTTAAGGTATTTAAAACCCCAAGCAAGGATTCTGTAAGTGTGGAAATCTGCACAAAATGGGAAATGTCCCTGGAGAAGGATGAGGATTATGCTTATTGATGGAACGTAACAGCAACATGCATTTAGCCATACTTAAACTTGTCAATTAAGGTCATCAGACCATTTGTACATTTATATTCTATCCATATTCACATACAGCCCTTGGAAATGCTCCACACTAGCAGAAAGTGTAGTTATGAAGGAGATTTCAGCAGTAATTTTCACACAGAATTACCATCCTAGTAATGTCAATAGATCAGATCTCTAGAAACATGTTAACTGCTACATTCCGCAACCTGAAGCTAGACGTTACTGCACTACTTACCTTTTGTAACATACAAATAGAAGAAGTCACAGTAAAGAACGGTCTGGACCACACCAGCAACAACAGCTATGAGGTCAAAAAATCCCTCAAAATAGTAGCGCCAAATCCAGTTGACTAAGTACAAGGCACGGTACAGACCCAAGAAGAAAAGATAGTGAGTAGTGATGGTCTCTGCTTCTCCAGTTTTGCTGATCATAAAAAGTTGAGGGAGAATAGCAACCGATTCAAGATAGATGGAGAAGGTCCACAGTATCTGAAAAGAAAACAAAACCAAGCCACAGGTATATTCAACTGTCTCACTGATAACAGAAGCACAGAAGATACTTGACTTGGCTCTTCACCCTCTTAACAGTATTACAAACAGGTACAGTATTCTTGCAAACTCTCCTTCCTGGTACAAGAAAAACTAAGTGAAAGCTTCATAATCAACCTTGGTATGGTACTAGGGAACAGCTCTCTTGGCAGGCAACACTCTCCAAACCAGCTGTCTAGCACGCTGGCAGGTATCGGTTTACTCAGGAGGAAACCTATGTGCATCCATCAGTTCAGGATTCACAGTACCATCAAATATAGCTTGCAGAGCTGGTGCTGTGAAATGCCACAGGGAAGATAATGAAGTTCTGCCCCCACCCCCACCATGTTCTTCTAACTTTTTTAATCTACTGGTTTAAAGAACAAGTTAATACAGAACAAAATTTAAAATAATGCCTCCAAGTGTTGCAATTAAAATGCCTTTAGTTCCCAGTAAAATCACTTAAATCTAATATATATAAAAATGCAGCTCAGTCCACTTAAAATAAGCATCTGAAGTTATTCTCTATTCTGTGGGGAAAATTACCTGTTTGAACTCTAGAATTACATTTTTGATGTAATTTTTCTGACAGGAAAACACATAACTGCATTTCAAATACACACAATTCTAATACTCCAGATTATTTCAATTCTACAAAATTTAAGTGTAATACTTCCTTTTGTTTTCACCAAATGGCATCAACTATCCATAAACTGCAGCCTTGGGAGTTTCTTTACCAAACAACAAAAGAAGGATACTTTTGTATTAATATAACCATCAGTGCACTAGGAAAAAGACAGTTTTCTGTTTAATGAAATGATCAGTGTTGGTAATAATGCTAGTCACCTGAAGTGCCTTAAATCTTCATGGAAACCCACACTGTAAAGATGCATTAAGGTAACAGGAGTAGCCTGAACCTACTTCATGTAGGCATCTTTTAAGCATTCCTCAATCAGCCTAAAAATGTTAATGTTCTAAATTCTTCAGAGAAAACTCTATAACCTCCCACCCACAATCAACTTACCTCCAGAGGAGAGAAGTCATGATTGACAAGAAATGAGAGTCCACCAACAGGAACTATCAGAAACTCCACTCTGAATGTGTCATGATTTCCATCATAGGTGGCCTTAAACTTCATGTAGATCAGATACACAGTGGCATACGAGCAAGCAATGTAGATAAGCTAAAGAGCAAGGAAAGAAAAAACAAAATCCACAGAGGTTCTAGGATTAGATCAAATAAAGCCATTCCCAGGCACTAAGAGGACTAAACACTGTCTTCTTTGGTTTGTTGTACTGCTTGTTTACATGCTTTTGCAGTTCCAGGCTATGTGGTGATATTTAACTTTTCTCAGCAGAGTAATAATTCAAAACCAATGATTCTGGGTTCTCCTGATGTTGTTGCTTTAAAATCATCAGCCTGCCTCTGGCTGAAGTGACTGTCCAAAGCTTCTTTAAAGACCCTTTCCTGAGTAGACAGAACTAAGGAACTGACTGGAGAAGGAATACCTATTACTGCAGGGGAAGCACTGCCCAAACCTTTATGTTAAAAATATGCATGTGCATACATGCAATAATGAAAAAAGGGGTATTTTGACCCCTTTCTTTTGACTCCCATTCAAAAAGCTGGGGAG